GTACATCGCATTCAACCATGATGAATGAGCGTCCTGAAACGTACAAAGTTTCGATTTACAGGCGATAACCGGATGTTGTGGGCACACTTTACATCGTCAAGGAAAATGTTCGGGTAGCGAGGCCGCTTGCTAACTCCTAGTCGACCGACCGGCGACCAGCGACCAGCTGATGACCAACGGGAGACGTTGTTCGAGGCACCGTCCGATTTGTCGGTGCTAATTAATTAATATTCATATTACTTATAATTAATTGACGGCTGCGCGCAGTGGTGCATGCAGTGAACGACCGGACGAACGCGAAGGAAGTGCTGAACGAGAAAGCGAACACGCAAAGCGTACGTACCTTCCGGTTCGAAGGTTCTTGCCGAGCTCCACATCGGCGCCGAGGTCTTCGTCGTCCAGTGACCGCTGTCGGCGTCGAATGAGGACAGCTGCCCGTACAGGGTCTTCAGCTTGTCGGGCACCCGCACGGGCCTCTGCGGACGGGGACGCGCCGTCAGACCGAGTTTTCTCAAAAACTGGTGCTCCAAGACGTTAATCCACGCGTTGGACTTCGCCTGCATGCCGGGGGTCAGAGGCTGCTGCTTCTTGGACGACGACGAGGACATCTGACTGAGACACGACACCCAAATTCGAAAACAGGCAACGATTAGGACGAATGTATGAAACGTGGGCGATAATGAATTGCAGCAAAATCGCATCTCGGAAACATAGTAGTGTCTAAAATCACGAACAACGTTGTGAGTTAGACAGAGGCGAGAAGCAAGCGAGTATGCAAGACACTAAGACACTGAGTGAGTGAATGAGTGAGTGCGAACCGGCGGAGGCAAACGAACGAACGAACGAACGAACGAACCGCACTGTGAGAAGCAGCCTGTCAAATCTGTTAATTGGCAGCGCCAGTGCCGGCGCCGGCGCAATCGGCTATTGAACTCAAACGCACAACGAACGAGTGACAAAAATGGCAAGAACGGCATCGGCTAGGACAGCAGTCGAAACCGCTGTCGTCAGGCCTAGCCATCGAACGGTCATCGTGAGGCCAGCCGGCACCAACTCTGCCTGAAAATCGGCGCCTTTCTGCTTAAGGCAGATTCGGTTCGTCTCGTCCGCTCCCTCATCGAAACAGGCGACCGACCGAGGCCACAAACCAGCGGTATCCGAACCGTACACTTGGTACGAAACGGCAGAAGATTAAGAATAACCGACGTACCAATCGCTTCCTATCGGTCAGCACCGACTTCCGTCATTCTGGGCTCTAAACCCCGCTGTTCATACCTCATTACGCATTTCCTTCCAAGAGAAAACAACGTACAGCATATTTGGAAATTTACTACCAATACGAGCCATCTAAATACAGCGGATCATTAACGCCCAGACGGGCAATCCATCCTTACAGGCATCACCTGAAACTGATTCGCGGTTAAGTAAAGCCCGTACTACCTCAATTTAACTCTAAGCCTCCGCATTCTGCTGCCGATGTTCAAGTTTACGTTGTGGCACAAGGTCAG